TATATCGAAAATACATGATGTAATGACATGGCTCTTTATCCCTCGGTATTGGTGAGGAATTTGCGCTTGAATTAGCCTCTGTACTAGGCCAAGTGGTTTGGCCTTTTAAACTATACCAGTAATTTAAAAACCTTCTCTGTGCTGATAATATGTTCTACCCGAGATTTGTCTTATTTTTTCTTTAGTGTAGTGACCTGACTCTGGTGTGGTTTCTTTATTATTGATGTCTTTTGATCATTGCATTTTTTGCAATATATAGTGTGAATGCTTTTTGAATTTTGAATGAATATATGTTTAGAATTTTATTATACATGTTGTACAAATAACAGTACAAGGATGTGCAGTTTATCGCTTTCTCTTTTGCTGTCACAAATAGAAATTTATTAACTAACAATATTTTATGAAAAATTTTTGGCAGTTTTTAGCCTTTATTTTCAAACTGCATTTGGGAGTAACTTTGTTTTGATGTACTAATGGAGTCGAATTAAGGTGCAGGCTTGCCACTGGGTTTGATTCCCGCAGAGTTGAAGCTGAGGCTCTGTAGTATCGCTCATGTTTTTCGTCTGGGGTAATGTATGTGCGACGAAAAAACTGTGAATACGGTCGAATTAAGCGAAATAACCGTAAACCAAAGCCTTGCGACACATTTTCTAATACGTAAGTGTCCTGTTCTTGATGGCACTGGAAAGTGCACCGACGTTTTCACTTTATTGCTTGTATTCTTCAATTGTTTCTGCAAATACCGTCTCTTCTTAGGACTATGCTTCAGCTCAGTTTGCTTTCAAGTTGCCAATTACTACCTAGTAATGCGCTACCTACAAACAATCTTGTCGTAATAATGATTCCTCTTCCCATTCTTATGGTTATTTTTGAATATAGCACAATGAGTGACTAACATTCCGCCTTTTACGCATACCCCTATGCTCTCTACTCTCGCACACCATGACCATGGATGCAGTTGTCGCTTTAGTGACATTTGGGCCTTGGAACCAGATAGGCGTCATTTAGCGTTCCGGATGCCTTCGAATGGTGTTTTAAATTTACTCGACTTTAATGCGCCTTGTAGTTAGCATCTTAATTGTTCTGAATAGATTCATACGTACATAGGGTGTCATATGCATGTAATTAGTTCGTTTTACATTTGTTGGTATGTGGGGGGTGATATCTCGGGGTTATATCCTTACGACTATGAATGGCCACTATGCCGCCTTCTTCATATGCCTTTTTTATAAAGGCATATGTTTAGTTGAATTTTTATGGTACATTGGATGCTTTTGTATCTGGCTTTTTTTTAGTCCTTTAGCCTCGATGTGTCGACTGTCTCTTATCTAGATTTAATGTTTATTTCCTCTCTGGTATTTTTTCTCCGCAGCTTTGGGTCATACTTGAAGCTCTTCCTTATTTGGTCAACAATCGTAGTTTTGGATTTTTTAATGGAGTTTCGATTCGAATACATGTGGCCGTGCTGGCTTCTCATTCGTACCATCAACGACTCTTTCAAGTATCAAGGCATCGTGAGTTACTTTCTGTCATTTCAATTCTCATTTTTATTACCAATTTTTACTAATGTAGGGTCTTCTTGACTGTTTTTCCAGCAATTATTAAGCAAAAAAAGTTATTACATGACCCTCGATATTTTTTTTAATTGTTGGATTGATGTCATTTTCTTATTGGTGACCCGATTATTGCTGCTCCCCATCTTGGTATTGCCATTTTTTAATAACTTCTCAAGGCGAAATTGTTTGCTTTTAAAAGTGGCTTTCATTGTTTCCAAAATCTGCTTATGATACATTGCCCTGGTGTGCACTTCCACTGCTTACATTTATAATCGCAATGCCTTTTTTGTACTTGTCTCTTTAAATAGCCCTTGTTTAGATGCTAGATTTTATGTTGGTGGAGGTAAAGTACCTTGTGCTCACTCCATTATTGCATCCAATAGATGATTTGGAATGCCTTCTGTATGTCTCTAATCTTCACATTGGTTTCATTGGATAAATATGTCCATTTCATTTGTCAAACCACCTCAGTTATACTATAACTGTTGCCTCATTAATTGTGTTGCTGAGCACGTGGTATATTGTGCTCAATGTTTGTTTTTTTCTAATATGAATTCGTCTGCATAATTGGCTGTTTTTTCCTTGACGTACCTTGACTTTGACATTTTCCTCAAGATTAAAATATCATTTTTTAACTCTATTCCATACACACAACTACACTTAAGTGACCGCTGACTTTCGTTGTGTGCTTTTTAGGTATACCTTTTTACTACTTAACCTAATGTTGTCAAGACAGTTGATTAGGCGGATAAGCGAACTTGAACTTTTTCTAAGAATCCGTACCTGAAGTAGTTGCTTTGTAATTCTGAATCCCTGTCATCGTTATTTAGCATTAATTTCCAACCCCAAATTGCATTAACTGACAATTACATCAACGCACCTGTTGTGCAGAGTTGGGGTAATTTACCTTTTTCAAATGGTTAGTCTTTTATAGACAAGAAAATTTAATTTTGATTCTTTGTGCAGTTATCTAATGGTCTATGGGTCTGTGCCATCTTATTCGTAATTTACTTCTGTTATCGAAATTCACACGTCTCATCCGCGGAATGTGAGCAATCCGGGTGCAATAAAATCCCAATACTTTCTCAATAACTTATTTACTTCTTAATAGCGTCCTTTTTTGGGGTCTATTCCCACTGATCGAGCATTCTCCATAATCCGCCTGTATGTCATATCAAGGGGCCTCTGCTTGGCGTTGAATTTTTTCGCCTCTTTTTTTTTACCATAATTTATAGTGCACCGAAACGTGTGTGTGCATATGTGTGCCTAACATGTCTATGTGGGTATAAACGTCATTTATTTACGCATATAATGGATAAGTATTTTTGACACAAGCAACCAGCATGTGGCGTGTGCGCTGCTTCCTCCTCCCGCAACATGAGTGTGCATTGTAACACTGAGTGTTTTCTTCCTCCCCTGTCCGATCTCCAAGACGTGGTTGGTCATAAATTCTCAAAAACATGCTTGAGGTGGTAAATTTTGGAAAATATCTTACTGTGTGGTAACTCAACGAATTTACGTCCCCTTCTCTCACACACGGCATATGAGTTCGTAATTGCCCCTTTCTCATAAATTAAGCAGACATTTATTTAATACCTGTTAAACAGCATCCACTCGCCTAAGATGCTTATTCACACATTTTTTTACTCACTAAGCTCACAAACACATTTTGACAGCGTCTCGTCCTTGAAATAATGTTTTCACACTAATTTTTTTTCCTTTTGGTCCTAAGGTGGCGTCCTGTTACAGTCAGTCGCTTTTGAGATCCACAATTTTTTTAAATAAATCACTTAATTTGACTAAAATTGTACAATTTAAAGGACAAATGAAATGATTTGCCGCTTTTAAGCATGCAACTTTATGTGTCATCCGTAATGGACTGTCCGGAGTTGGCTCTCCCCTCATGGTCATACACTAAGCTTGCTTTCGCCGCTTCTTCGAGTCTGACCAATGCAAATTGCGCGTTAATCCCCCCATGCGACTGGGGTTATAATGTTCTGTTTTGGAACTCCTTACTCCCATTCCCAAAAGTCGCTTTTCCGATGCTTAAACCTACCTCACTCTCAAGCACTTCACTTGCTTTCAAGGTCACTACCTTCACCTTTTCTGTATTCGGTCGTCTGACGCAAGTGGTGACTTGCTAACTGCTGCAAGGGTTTGATACATTTCATTCGAGATTTGATTGCTGCAAGACGACAGAATTTTGACTGTAGGTGACTGCCTTGCAAATTAAGATGTGGTATGAAATTCACTAATTCCTCCGTTACGACAATCAAATTTCAAATGCCTTGGAATTTTAGTAACTGTATTTTTTTTTATGATTGGGAGCTGTTTTTTCTCATTGCTAAAGAAATGGTCTCCATGTTTACCATAGTGAATTTATCTTGTGTTTATCTAATCAGTCAGACTCCAAATGAAATGTGTGTGTGTGTGTGTGACGTAGCCAACTTATTTTTCTTGATGTTCCAATTGGCTCGAAACCCTATCATTCTCTCAACTCGTTTTCTGAAATAATAACACAATAGTCCTACTCAGTAATGCGAGAAACACTTCATCGCTAGGGGATGGTTTCTGAATTCGCCTAGGTTGTTAGCACGCTGTGGCCGCGTTTTGTAACAGGACACGGATCAGTCATTAAACATGCGCGTACCCACACCACACACACAAAAACCCTCGAATGCTTTGGCACACAGCGTCACTACACTGCGCTCATTGGCTGTCTCTCGCATTCTTTCATCATTTTCCCAGGTGATGCCTCCAGGGCGGTACAACGGGATGTTCCAGTGAAATTGAGATTTTGGTGTTTATGTACATACATCCGATGTTCCGATGTAAATTTGTCATTTCACCTGGACTCTCGTAGGTTAGCCTTTTTAAAGACGTTTTTTGCTGCTCCGATCCCCTTTTCCGTTGCAGAGTACAGCATTATATCCTCATTTCCTCTTGTGTGATAATGTGTTCAAGAAAATGTTTGCTTCCCTAGTTGAAACGATGCTTTCACTCAGCGCAGTATTCCGTTTTTTCTGCGTTTATCAAAACCGGAAAGTTGTCTTAGTATCTTGTCCATGCCCGCGTTGGTGAATGCTTGTGTTGCGTTCATAATCTCCGCTGAAACATTCACATTCGTCTTCTGTACAATTTATTTGCGCATCAAATTCATTGTGTATCAGTCAGGTGTCAAGGTTCAGGCTTTCCACGAACTGGGTTGAAGTTTTACGAGAATAAACAATGTGATGTGAGTAGACAAAGGAATCTCCACTGCTAGGAGTGTTTGAAGCGCTTACACCAATTAAATGTCTTACTCCTGAGCGGCTGGACGTTCCATCAGCGTACAAACTCTGCACTGAGTTTTGCGGTAAGGCAATGTAGATATCTGCGGATTCTGATCTTACACTTTTATCCATAGGAATCTTCGTTCGGTACCTAACAATGTTATACACACTCACTACTGTTTTTGCCTGCTCCCTTGATTAAGGACATTTGCCTGGGTATCAGTAACAGGTACGCTTGCCACCTGTCATTGCGTGCAGTTCTGCCAATATAGCACCCCTTTTAAGATTGCAGACTTGGAATTTATAGCTTGACCCGATTGCCTTTTGTAGGTCTCGCTAACACGAGTACATAAATATCTCCCATGGATTTGAAGTCTACTTTGAGGGGTTTTTTGGGGGCAAGGCAAGAGGAGGAAGGGAGACTATTCGAAATCACTCTAGATTTAGTAGTTTTTTATCCATCCTAGACGTTTGCAATCTTCTTCACAATGATCGCCCTGACTTCGGACTTCATTTGCTACTTGCTTGTGCCCTCATCCTGGCTCTTTCTCTTCGGCAGCACCTGCGTGTGGATGGAGCTTGTGTGGCATGCTGGTACGTTTCGAGTCTCTTTGTCCCTATACTTTTGCTCCAAACGTTTTAGTGCTTTTTATTATCAGCCCTGTTTATCAGGCTGTGGCATTTGTGCTGTGTGTCCTTTAATTGCCAAATGAAGGTCAATCCCATGAGAGAGGTGTCTAATCTTTACAGCAGTGAAGAAAACGTGTCTGTACGTGACAGTAAACCTTCATAAAACCATCGTGTCATATGTTCCCGTTGTTGGGGTGCTGTGTTCTATAGGTGTTGCCTCCCACTTTTCTAATATTTAGCAAAACAGTTGATGGGGACACCATCTCACAGACCTCTGTTGTCCTAATGACCGCCATTTTGCTAGACAGCTCACCTTTGCTCATCGGATTACGTAATCCTTGGTGAGGTTCGAATCGTCTCATATTTGCTGGCTTCATCAAGGGGAGAGGAACAAATATGCTTTAACGGAATTTTTTAAATTCTTCTTTTGTTTATGTGGTTCGACAGAACGTGGTGTCTGCGCGCCGACTGTGGCCATGTGCTTCCTCTTCCTCTACGTGGAGGTGGCGGTACGTCTGCGTGACCCCAAGTCAGTTCCTCTCAGCATCGACTTGTGTCGGCCTTTCGCTGCTCACTGGTACGTTTTACTAGTCAAATGATTGTCTTTGCTTTGTATTCTTATTTAAATAACTAGCTAACTGCGGAAAGTGTTTCATTACCTGATATCCTTGAATCGTAACCATCGTTGAAACTTGTTTCGGGGCATGAAGATTTATTATCGCAAATTTTATATTCATATGTTCTGTTTCATGCAAAATGTTCCTTAACAATAAGGAGTCAGTGTTTGTTAGCTTTCCGTTGATTAATTAGACTAACTTTCTGTTATTACCATAGTTTCGCTACCCATTTCATTCATTTGCTACAACTAATCCCTAACTGTGCATGTTGAAAAGATATCATCAGTTAAAATTCGTTGCATCGGAATGGAGCAAGATTGATTGTGATCATTGCTTATGGTGTTACTACTTCGGTGGCTTGTCACACCCCCAGTTAGCTAAAATGGTGCAATTAAACTACCCACGTGTGTATTTGAAAATGTTAACGTCATAGTTCCCTTGGGACTAGTAAATTCGTCATTTTCGTTACCATTTCTAGTAGACAGCCTTCAAGGGGTGAAGTCGTACATGCCTTCAAGGTCTGGTTCGGGGTAGTGAGTGCGTTGTATCGTGGTTACCAATAATGCGTTGGAATACAAAAGTCCAAAAACCATTCCTCATCACAACTCAGCCAGTAAAGAATCTAAAATACACGTCATGTTTTATAGCATGTGTGAAAAAGCGAAGAAGAAAATGAACAACAACAACAAATGAGGAGCCTACGATGTTCCTTGTCACCTGTTGATGAGACCGATGGGCCTAGTACCCTACATGACTCCCCTCCCTTTTGATGTGCGCATAATCCGACTGTTGAATCACTCACGTCAACCATTATTGTAAGCTGTACTTGGCACGCTGATCTCCAAATACTTTACCCATTACTATTAAGAAGAAAGGATCTTGCTGAATGTGATTCAACTGGCGTCGAATAGCTTTTTTGTCAAGACTGAATTGCCTGAACAATTTCCTAGTAGCGCATTATTTTGCTACCCCATATCGCCTCTTGGAAATGTCATGCAGAAGACTATTCAAGAAGCTTCTGGAGCTTTTGAACCGGGTTAAAATCAAGTCAACAAACAGACAACCTCTTATCACATATTAAACAGCCTTTTTCTGGCAATCTATCGGCGGAGTCGCTGAGGCCCTGCCACACCTAGCGACAGGTCATTGCAGACAGTCAAACCGAAAATGGCAAGAGTCCTTTTAGTAGTTCCATGCTTTGACTCTTCTCTTTGCCATGTGACACTAACGCCACCGCTATGCGGCTAAAATGGTTTGAGGGAGTTGTTGTTGTAGTAGCGCACTGTCTGGATTAAAATAGACAGAAAAATGTTTGCGGCAATCTCTGCTCAGTGGTTTTTTTTGCTTTTTTTCTGCTCCGCTACTTTATCGTTTATTGCCTGCTCTTCCGGTAAACACGCTAACTGCTTGGTATTTCAGGGACCTTAACTTACCGAAATAGTCCACTGTGAATCTTTTTTTCTCCTCCTATGGTCAGTTTGGGTTTTACCTGCTGCCATCACATGTTTCACTGGCAAAGTAGTCCGAGTCTTAGTCACAAAATGTCACTGCATTATGTCACCAATGTGATACACCTGTGTGAAGTAACCCTCAAGAATATTGCACCATAGGGGTTGAGGTGGATTTTTGATGCAATGTGTGTGGTCTATGATATTACAAAAAGAAATCACGTTCACGTCAAGTTGAGGCTAAATTGTTCTCTAAACTGATGATAATTCAATCAACAAGGCCTGCTGTTATTGCTTTCCAAGGGATGTCAAGTTGTCAGTGCTAATTTTGAACTTTTGACAGACTACTTTGCCTTTAAACTGTGCCTTTTCACCTCATAGTACCCTTTTAATAGAGTGATTTTTAGAACTATCTCGTAGTCGTTTTGGTTTGTGACACTAGTGAATCGCCGCCAGCAAAGTAGTGGTAATGCTAGTCATTGCAATTACGTTCGGAAGGGTTGTGTGGTTACTAGCTTGGCCCGAAGATCATGCCACAGAACGGAAGTACAGCCTGCAGAGACTCAAGTACCCGCTTAGTTCAACACACAACTAAGTAAGATTATCAAACCGCCACATCTCCTTTGAACACTACCTACCATTTGATTGAACTAACTTTAATCTGTCTTCTAACTTAAGGGAACCGGAAAATCTTAGCACTTGTTGAACCGAGGAGAGGTCTTCATGGGTTTCAGGTCAAACACGGATCCCTTCTTACGTTATCTTATTTGTAGCTGACGATATGTGTTTCAATTTTTTCATTACTGATTTCTGATTCCTTTGGCAAATAACTTTAGCTGATACAGTATGTACATAAGTATCCCTTTCTCCAGTCATTTCTCGGCGAGAAAGATTGCATGTTGTTGAAACTGCCACCCTTTTAAGTTTTCTCGTAATTGTGTATTGGGGTGTGGTTTTTGTTTGTGCGTTTAAGTCTTTCTTTGATCGCAAATCTGTAAATGTCATCATTCTTTGACATACAAAAACTGCGTTATCAAACACCTTTGCAGAGTCTTTGTCTTTCATACCTACCGCGCTGTTTCATTCTGATGTCACCAGGATCCCCATAACTTTCAACTCTTGTCAGAGGTGTGCGTGTGTGTGGTTGTAGCTGCTCTACTACCGAGCTCTCTCCATTGTTGCGTCGCTTAACAATATACTGTTGTACTGTGTGTTACCACACACACTGCCTCTTTTTCAATCCCCCAAATTTGCTCCGAGTCCTTCCTTCATGCGATATTCGTGGCCTATCCACGTATCTATTTCCCAATTAGCGTTCCTTGTTTCACTGAAATTTTATCGCTTGACCCACCTTCCACCAGGATGCCTGAGTGGTTAATTCACTTCTCACGCAATGAACTTTTAAAGTGATTTTATGGACCTCTCTCTCTCCTTCCTTCTCTAATGGAAACTTCTCGTTATGATCATTTTGGCAATATGTCGAATTTGTCTTCAGTTAATGTGATTTAGCTCCGCACTAAGTAATTTTACTGTTGGATGGATTTTTAAAAAAGAAGTTGTGACCGCAAGTAACATATGCATTGAAAATTTTAGCTTTTTCATTTTTGCCACTTTCATGGACTTGCTTAATTTTTTTCCCGTGACTAACGAAGGTCTTGTTACTCATTAAGCGCGCGTTGGGTTACTACAACTGTCAGTTTTTGACCTCTTAGTGCATTGAAAGTTACTTGAAGAGCTCCTTCATAGATCACTTGGAGGCAACGCCCAGTCATCCATGAGAACATTCTCAAGCATAGAATTTAAGAATTAGTTATTTTTTATTCCCGTGCAGTACTGGGAGATGAATCACAACAGACCGGAAGGACCTGGCTAGCAGTGGTCAAAATAAATGTTGTTCTGTTACAAGTAAAGGAGTATATTGTTTTTCATGCACAAAGCTAAATTCCCTTGCATTTCTCCCCTTTTTTTTCAGCATCGGCTATCCTGTTGTTACACTGGGTTTCGGCTTGAAGAGCCTCCTCACACACCAACTTCGCTTGGTAAGTATCAAAACTTTATGTATCCTCATGTAATTTTTTTAGCTACCTGCCGCCGATCTGCTTGTGTGTGAGACTTGTGCATGCGCGTATATACATATATATGTATATTTTCCTCCCTGTTTATTCACAAAGTGACATCTCAGTTTCTTCGCGGTGTCCTTAGTCACAACTCCGATCATGTGATTGCATAATGCCCCGTCAACTAGTAGAATTCTTACTGATTCAGAAGAAAAGAATAAGGCTAATGCGATAGACAATCCTTATTTGTACTCTTCTGCCTTAATCACAATCCTTAAATGCCCTGTTCGGTGCCAAAAGCCGTCCCTGATCATACCTGAGATATCTGTGTTTGTGCTGTGGTGTCTTGAGTCATCCCTAGAGAAGCATTGCGCCACAACAGCATGGTGGAAGAATTCTGTCTCGGCGATGCCATATTTGAAGTTGTGTCCCCCTCTTAACGTCAAGGCCAGTGTACTTCCTATGCTAGTCGTGCATCGCCGTTTAATAAAACATTACTTAAAGTAGGTTCATAGGGCTAATATTTTGTAACCATTCCTTCTTACTGCTCTGTGCTCGCTTTACTACTCTATCTTGGCTCAGTTTAGCCTACTAGGAACGTGTAGGAAGGATAATTTTTTCGTAACAGTTGGTAATCAAGTGTGTAGGTAATTTGGATATTCCTCCGACTGCGAGTCTTCGTAGACGCAGGCATCCGCGGTAGGCAGCTTTCTTTGATGTTTGGGTGTGGTATCCAATCATTGCACCGTTAGCTTTGCTTCATCTGACACAAAAGACGTAATCCAAGAGTATGGAAAATTTATTAATGCCTGGGTGGCTATAAATAGTAATAAAAAGCCATACCACCATGGAGGTAATTGAAGGAGCATAGGCTGAGGAGCCCACGTGATTAAGCGAAAGATTCGGAAAAGAAGGATTCTTCTGCTACAGTACAATTGGGTGAAATGCACTCTTTTGAGGTTACTTTACATCCTACCAATTGGGTGTGTGTGTGTGTGTTTATGATGTGAAAGTTTGCGTAATTAAGTCCTTCATATGAATAAGGTCATTGACCATTCCCTTATAAAATTGTAACCTTCCGTTGGCGTGCTATGATTAGTGATAGGGGCTTGAATCTACTTCTACTTAGACTAAAAGCGACGTGGAAGGCAAATTGGCTCGAGTATTTGTTCTATTTCAGAAACAAGCCTCATCGCTGCTGAAAATAGTGTCTTCCTCGGTTGCTTCAATCTTCAAGTTGTGCTCCAACAATTTTAATGTTGTTAGTAGTAGAAATGTGTTTATTAGATTTCCGTAGCCATTTGCTTAAAGAAAAACCATTGCTTACTCGTAAAAGGACAGCTCTGCTATGATAATCTCCTTCGCCACTTTGCCAGTGTGAACTCATACCTCAGAGGCTTAGAAGTTATCTTCGTCCCTTCTCAGTGTGTGTAGTGCTATGCCAAGTCACTATTACAAAGGTAATCTTATCTCTCACCCCTTTCATTTGCAGCGTCGGCAGCACCAAGTGGAGACACATAATTCAAAGTATTTTTGCCTTCTTGAATTGGCTCTTCCTGAGGAGGTTCGCACACTCCATCGAAGAGGTAAGCTAAATTCTAGGCTCTTTTCAGTCTGATTATTCCATTGAAGTTTTATTGACGTTCACTGAGAACTCTCAAGCCATAAGGGCGCTTTTGATTCTAGGTAGCACTATATTTTGCTCCTACCTTTAACAAATCTTTGACCTGGAATGCGCTGCCTTAGAACGGTCTGTTAAAAGGGCTGAACCTTCCTAGGATAGCGAGTTTTTCTTCATCTCTCTTCGCATCCACTGTGAGCACAACCACCTGCGTTTGCTAACTCTTCGCTATGGTAGATGCTTAACTTTGTAAATGGCTGTACTGTCCTCATTGTTCCCACAGAAAAGTTCGTATGCATTTCTTGTGCACTTTCTTCACACGATAGGTTAGCTATACGTCGATGATAAAAGCTGTTTCACAATTTGGATGACTTTTCTCAGAACTGATTGCCGAATCTGTGGGGTCGAAACCACCACAGCACTACAGTCAACCGCTTTTGAATGGTTTACAGTATTCAATGACAGGTTATCTTAGGCACACTATGTACTGTTGCCGCGGTAGCACGTCCTTTTATTAAGAGTACCTGCTTGTCTTAGACGTTCCTACTAAAATTTTAATTTGATTTTGTTTTTAAATTTATTCAGGGGAGTTGGGTAATGGCCAACTAGCAGTAATGAACTCACCGAACGCCAATTCCGGTAATTTGGCAATAACTGCAGCTCCCTCCACAAGCACAGCGAATTCGTTGCCTGCTAGCCCTACCAGTATTTCCACAACATCAGCTTCTGCTACTGCCGCTAACTCCACTTCCACGCCATCAGCACCGACGACAGCAAAGAATTCTCGGAAGCAGCAGCAACAACAACAAAATCTGACCAATGGGAAATCCACGTCTGTAGCAAATAACTGCGATCATTCCCTTGCTTCGAACCACGCTGTAGGTTTGTCCTTTTTGCGTCGTTTCATATTGGGAGGTAAATGCTGTCTTAGCTGGTTTTAGTGTGCTCATTGCTGTTCCTGGATGATTTGGTTTTCATGGATGCGTATTTCAGTAGATCCACTGCCTTTACTATCCCATTCACAGTTGTCAGGCGAAGCTCCCTACCTTTTGAAGTCACCACATTGCGTATTGATGTATACAAGTAAAGCGGATGTTCTTGCAGTGGATAGCTTCTCTCTCGTTCCGAGTTTCAACCTTGTCGCCCTAAAATTTTCTGCTTCAACTATCGCAGTATGCAATCATTGGAATGGTGTCCATTTTTGAGACAAGTATAGCGTTTATAATCTGCCTGTTCATCACTGCGAGAAGACTTTCATATTCAGCGGTATCTGCGCATTTTCTTCACCTCTGTCTGGCTGAATTATTTCCAGCTCTTAACCTTGAGGATATCTTGAGTCCCCAGATTAAGGGTACACTTCAGTGTTTCAATATCACTTGTAAGCAGTTCTTCTATGGAGGATTTTGACTCTGACTACTACTTGGAAGCCAAGATTAGGTTATTCGCTAAAGGGAAGCACAACTTCTATAGCTCTCCCTTTTTAAGCATTCACGACTTCATTCATCTATGGCAGATCCTTCTGGGACATTATGGCATAGTCTTCGGGCAGCAACTTTGCGACTTCTCTTTACTTGGACCGGGTTCGGCCTAATTATGCTCTAATTTGCCACACAAGTAATTCTCGAAGAAATTTAGAAGGAGCTTTGGTACGGACCCATAGAAGGACTGGTGAACTAGTTGTGAAAAGTAAACAACCAGAAGTGAGGTCATAATATCTTTTTTGGGTTCACAGCCCTCTCAAAACAAACCCAATTTTTTTGCTGATTCCGATGCGGATTTGTCTGTTATTTCCGGAATTCCTATTGCATTTGTGATCATACACCAAGATCTCATGTATTGTTGGCTTTGGCAATTTCATAGGCCGTGGATCGGAAGTTCTTTGGTTTCGACGGAGGTGACCAAAATCCACAGCACCAGAATCAGCACCATCACCACAACCAACACCATCACAACCACCTTGAAGGGGAGGCGAGCGGGTGCTGTGAAGCCACTGCAGTCTCTTCAAGTTGCTCCTCCCTCTCTGGTCAGGAGGTGGTTGAGGTGCGTGCGCCCAAAAAATCGCCCACCGCAACCACCGCCAATAGCAGTAGCGGCCTTGCTCAAGGTCACTCTGGTTCCTCTTCCGCACCACATAATCGGTCCAAGGCTAGTGACAAGTCCTCCCGTTCCGGCAAAGATGCCTCTGTCTATAGGTACCAGTATCACATGTTCGATGCCTCCTTGATTTTCTCCTTTGTCTCTAACTTCACAATATGTGACATCTTTATTTGTTAAGGATAGGTGTATCGTTGATTGATTGAATTTAAAGCAAAATAGATGGGAGATGTTCTTTTTTACCTGAGGCCAATTACTTTTAGCTTTCGGGGAGCAATTGGTGGAGCAAGTGCTGGTCACATTTGAATGCGGTGGCAGATTTCCCTCCAGTAATGGAATTTATAGCCACATAAGGCCAGACCGTATCGTCTTACTTTATTCTACCTCTCTTTCTGTGTCTTCTAGACTGGAAGATGAACTGCGAAGACTGCGGCATGAGCGCCAGACTATGCTGGTGACAGAGTCGGAGCTGCGAGCACAGTTGGCTCAGTTGACTACACTGGAGCGAACCTCGCGGACGGAGACAAATCAGGCGAGACAGGAGGTGGAGTATTTGCAGTCCAAATTGACCACGCTTACACAGCGACTTGAGGTAAGTCGTGATTGTTTGTTTTCTTAGATTGTTCACGGTGATTGAGTTGATGATAGGTTACTTCACTAGACCCATATCATCATTATTTGACAAGGTTGGCTTTTTAGCCACTCCAATCACCGCCGGTGTAAAGATTTGCATGTGCCAGGTGATCAGAAAGGCTTGTTTCTTTTTCACTTTTGCTCGTTGCAATGACGTTGTGAAACTTGTAGAAACATGTGAGATTTTGCATTTAATCATGCATTTGCATCATAAAGCACGGGTAGATGTGCAATTCTGTCGGTACACTTTACTTGAGCTGGCACTTACGGGTGTGCCGGTTGAGATTAGTGTGCCCTGATCCTTTTTGCTTTACGCATCATTCTTGAATCAGTTCAAAAGCTTCAGAGGCTTCTCGTATAATCTTCTATATGGTAGTAAAATGACATGTTTCCTGGAAATTGTTTAAGTAATTCGGTTCTAACAATAAATTATCCGCCGAAAGATGGATTGCGTTCAACAAGGCCCTCTGCTCTTGCGAGTAGTGGCTAGAGTAGGCAGAGACCAACGTGTCAAGTACAACTTTCAGTGGTGCTCGACGTGAATGATTCCGCAATCGGATTACGCGTGCATCAACTGGGGGAGGAAAGCCGTGTAAGCTATTAGGCACGTTGGTCCCACCCATCTGTTATGCACCAACACGTGACAAGAGACTTCTTCGGCTCCTCATTTGTTGCTGTTATTGTTGTTCACTTTCTTCTTCACTTCTTTTACGTGAGTTATGAAAACGTGGCGTACATTTTAGATTCCTTACCCTGTAGTAGAAAAACTGACTCATGAAAAGACCAGTACTTCAGGCTGGGAGGGACAGAAGGGGGCGCTGCCTCATCCTCTGTATCCCTTCAATGAGTCATCTTTTGTTCTTAACTAGAAAGGCTCGTGTGCTGATATTCATGATTGCAGTAAGTGTTAGCCTACGTTACGCAGTCTTCAACTTGTTCGACACCTTCTGTCATCAATACTTTGCTTCGGTCAGCTCAAAATTGTTTAAGTGAATTGAGACCAACTAGCAGGCAGGAGTATGAATCCTATCCAATAATCCCAATTCACAGGATTTTTTGTCCAAAGGCAAAACCAATTACGTACCATAGTAAGACTAAGTCATTGCCATGCTGATTTTGTTCATTCTGTCCGGAATGTTTTCAACTTCTTGCCATTTCTGATGCACATCGGAATCTTCACGTCCTGGTCATAAATCGCTGTTAGTATTGTCAAGACTGCAATTACTCTTGTCTGTGATTTCGAGTTGTCGAAGTCTTGTCTTGCTCTGTTGCTAGTCTTGGCTCGGCACTTGAGACTCGAGCATCTGCCAAAAGTCAGCGAAACTTCAATATTTCTCCGCAAATTCGATCCTCCGCGGTAGATTCCAGCGAAAATTGGGTTAACATTCTTTTAGTACTGGTTTGCCAGCGGTTATCACCAATGTGGCTCTTGAACTACTCCCGGATGACGTTACAGGGCGTAAAAATTTCGAAGTGACAAAAAATGATTTTAGAAACTAGTAGCTATGAGATGGACGGAAGCACAGGCGACTGAAAATGTTTACATGGGCGGGTGCATAATGTCTTTTTGTAGCAGTGAAAGGTATGTTCCCCATCCCCTTCACCTAGTTTGAGATTCTGAAGCATCTTTACAATCAGGAAATCCTTCAAAATCTCAGCTTCAATGTACTTCACAAGAATTTGAAGCAGGCGTAAATTGAAATTTGAGACCTGCTTGATTTTTCTCATTCCTCAGACGGAGCGCGAAAATTTGCAGTTAGCAGAGAAGAAGGCAGCAGAGGAGAAACGCCAACGAAACGCCCTTGAGATAAGCCTGGCTGCCGAGAAGCGCGCTCGTAGGGAGGCAGAGAATGCTCTGAAGGCGTCAGCTCCCTTTGGTTCAATGACGAACAGCACCATCACCACCTCTGCACCATCTGTCACCAGCTCCAAGTATGCCCCTTGAACCTTATTTTTGATGTCTGAAGTGTGTGACCAGTTGCTTCATCTTCTAGTACGTCATTTCCGGTTCGGCTGCTGTTTGGTGACTGATGTTGCTCATTTACGCGTTTCTTAATCCAGCTATCTTTGCATGGTGATGTTTGAAATGCCTAATTAATTCCCACGTTTCCGTTCCTAGTCGGTATTGTCGATTTTGTCATCTACACCAATGTAAGTGGTAACTGACTATGCTGACAAGTAGATGAAGTGCCATTGTGTTGTGCCGTCACTTAGTTGCCTCGTTTATCTACCTACTGCCGTCATTTGGTTGTCATATATCACCCTCAACGAACCACGGCACCCTCTCATGGCACGTTGAAATTGTGGCTTGAGTAAAGCATTTAGGTGAGCAGAAAAACTCGTGTTGCGACTCTTCGTGTGATTCGGTAGGCACTTGTAAAGCACATGTGACTGTTTTATATGGCATTATAGAGGACAGATACGCGCCTGTCTATCAGTACTTTGTGTTTATTTAGAACCCACATAAAACTTCAAATTAACCCTGTCTGCTTTACGAACCAAGATCAACTGGCTTTCAAACTCGTGCAGCTTTTCGTGTGGCATTTGGAGAAGGTGGGCTATATGGTAGCAAAAAGTGGAAGCAATTTAAATTTGGCGATGGATTACTCAAAGTTAAATGCATTTAATTCAGTTGGGTCCTCTATATTGGATAGTGAGATGCTACAAAAATCCGTTGAAACATTAATTTGAATGTGAAAGTTGTGGACGTCACCAAGCCAATGAGGTGAACGTACCAGTGGATGACGGTTAGCTTCGTCTTTGGCGCGATTTTGTCACACAGCAGGTTAGTTCTGCGCCGGTTAGAGGTTCAGGACCAATCGCATGTTCCACGCGCTCGATGAGTGTTCGCAGAAACGGCTGTCGGGTCTGCGGTCTCGGAACCGTCACGAGTGGTGTACAGCGGGTCGCCTTTGAAATGCTTGCGTGCCTGCCATCTTGGGTAGCGGCTTTCCGGCTGGTATATGACATTTCCGTTAGCCGTTAGGAATAAGGCAAACGTACTTGCCATTTAGGACCGTAAAATTAAAGTACCGGTTTGCTTTCGACGCCCCTTGATAGAGTTTTCTGCTAAAAATAACGGAGACAGAATTTGCTGATATTTTTTTATTCAATTTCTGGGTCTAGAGGTGTAACG